ACCATGAAACAAAATTTACAAATACATTGATTAATATTATTTAATGTTAATAATAAGGAAACATACACTTGATGTATGGAAAATAATAAAACTGTGTGATTATAAATTTTGGGGAAAAAAATATTGATAAGATAAGGAATCTAACCAGTGTTTATAATAGACATGAGTTACTCCTCTCTGCCAATTGGTTTTGAGATGGAACTCCATGAATATTAATATGGTATTAGAGCCCAAAACGCTCAAGCGAGCAATCGGTCCAAAAATGGGATCCGACCAAGATCGCTCCTCTCATGGCCAATTGGTTTTGAGATGGATCCCTAATTTTTATGCGTAGTAAGGAAGTTATAGCACAATTTGTGAGCTACATTTCATGAGATTTATATTGAAATTATTTGTTAGTTTTCGTTTCTTCATGACAAATTTAAGCACATAAGATATATTTTGCAGGAATAAAGTATCGAGAGGAAACGAGACTTATTTAGATCAAAATGAGAGAAAAATCGGAATCAAAGTGACCAAGATGGAATAACAACAAGATTTGAAGCAAAATACCCGAGAAGATAGCGCCATGGCGCTGGCCTAGATCGTCGCGGCGCTCCGAAGTTTAAATTTCCCGTTTTGTGAATAGTGTAGCGTCATGGCCTTGTGTGTAGCGCCATGGCGCTACTGTGACAACTTTTTATAGAAAAAAGGGTTGTGCAGCCGCGGATATGGGGGAGTTTTGGAGAGGTTTTTTGGCGGTTTGTCTTTTTGGCCAATTTGGAGGGCAAGGAGACCATTTGAGAGCTTAGAAAAGTGATTTTCAAGGCTCGGGATCGTGGACGTCGCTTCAGGGACGGACGATTGACATGCCGAACATAGTTTCTTCTCCTTTCCCTTGATTTTTCTAGTTTTGTTATGAACTTCTCATTGTGATTTTATTGTTTTACATTGAATATGAGAAGCTAAACCTCTTATCTTGGGGATTGATGTAGTCATTGAACTTTATGCCTTAATTGTTTAGTTTTCTTGATTGAATGTTTATGAATATTTTATTTATGTTTCTCTGCGTGCTTAATGCCTTGAATCTACTGGCCATAGAATGATTGATTTTAGACTTGAAATCTTACGCTCGGGAGAGGTGGTTTAGAATTAGAACTGGGATGCATAACTAAAGGGGTTTTAAGATCGGGAGATTTAGAAGTCTTTTAGAGGTTGTTAGAAAACTTGATCAATAAAGCCTTTACTTGTTATAGAAACTAGATAGGGATATTGGTTTCTTAATTCGTAAGGAGAATTAGTTTGCGCTCAGGAGAGGCAGTTGAGATTTGAGAGTTCTTGGCCTATAGAATTAATAATTCGTTCAATCTTGAATAATTAAGTAGTTGGTTCATAGATTCAATAGGTGAAATCAATTCCCTAGGACCTTTCTTCCCATTGTTTTTATGTTTATTATTGCATGTTTATTTTTTTTATTATATTCTCTCATTTGATTTTGATTCTCTAAATAAAATTGAGCAATGGTATCTGTGGTACTTGAGTGATCTAGAAACCTAATCCAGATGACGATATCGATATAATTGACTTACCACTTTATTAAAACTTGACCCATATACTTGTGGTAAGCAATTTCTGCTACAGGAAGCTACTGCCACCTATCTGATAACTTTGGCAGCTTTGTCCGTTGCTTTGTCTATTTAATTTTATGGTCATGTCCAATTATTTTTGTGGTTGGTTTTGAGCATTTTTCTCTATGGATAGTAAAAGTATTTCGAAAATAATCACTTACAAAATATTCAACAATGAATTCGATTTTTAAGGTCTTTATATGGCTTAATGCGAAAAAATAACTTGTCCATAAGATACGGTTAATTGTCACAACTTAAAACACAATATTTATTAGAAAATTTCTAAAATATTTATCCTATTAACAAATATATTTATAAATATGGCAACAACTTTTTTGAGTTAGTTTGCAAAAATGATTTTCGAATTTTTGTTATTTCAAATTTATCCTATTTATAATTCTTTTAAGCTAACCTTGATGTATTTTCTTGGAGGTTAAAAGTAAGAGCTTTTATTAGATAACCGTCTAATTAATTAAATGTACCAGCAATGGTAGATTACATCTCTTCATTCCAAATGATTAAAAAACAATGTCCAAAGAGTCATTATTTGAAAATTTTCATTTGGGTAAGGGAAAGAGTTTATATCATGTTACCTAAAACTTAAATTTGGAGTAAAATTGAACTTTTTTTTTTTTAGTAAAACATTATCAACATTCAAGTAAATCCTTGGTAGCATTCATATCAAGTATATCAGCATTAAAATCAAGTATATCAATAGTATATCAAATCATTGATATATCAAATCAGGTATATCAATGTATATAAAATCAATCAAATCAAGTATATCAATGATACATGAGCACACGTATAATAAGGTATATCAATGATATATCAGAAGCTCAATATTATATCAATGGTATATTAGGATACATATATATCAGTAATTAAATAAGGTATATCAGTAATAAATTAAAAACTAAATGGTCTGACTTTGAGGTATATCAATGATATATAAAAGACGACTAAATCATATGAATATAAGGTATATCAATGGTATATCAAAAATTAAATGGTATGACTACGAGGTATGTCAAAATGAGAGACACGTCAAAGCTTGTCCCTTAGGAGTTGGTCGTGAATGACCTTAAGAGCTCTTCCTATATGAGCTTATGAGCTCTTCTGTAAATGAGCTTAGGAGCTCTTCCGTAGATGAGCTTGGAGCTCGGACGTAGATGAGCTTGGAGCTCGGACGTAGATGAGCTTAAGAACTCTTCCTAGATGGGCTTATGATATTTTCCGTAAATGAGCTTAAGAGCTCTTCCTAGCTGACCTTAGGATATTTTCCATAGATGAGCTTAGGAGCTCTTTCGTAAATGAGCTTAAGAGCTCTTCTATAGATAAGCTAAAGATCTTTTCCTGGACGGACTTAGGATATCTTCAGTAGATGAGTTTAAAAGCTCTTCCTAGATGAGTTTAGGACATCTTCCGTAGATGAACTTAGGAACTCGGCCATAGATGAGCTGATGAGGTCGGTCGTAGATGATCTCGCTATGTGGTAGGTCATATTTTTGCCCCCAACAATATTAGTAATATATTAGGTTTTGTTTCTTAGTTATGATTTGGAATTATATAGTATCAATAAGCTATTAGGTTTGTATCTAAATGTCATCCATTTCAATGAAATTATATTTGTTATTTTCTCTATTTTTCTAGAATCAACCCGGGAAGAAGGATAAAGAAGTGAGAGAGATAAAAGGAGTGAAAGAGATAAAACGACTATGAGAAAAAGGAGACCAAAGTGGGGAGAGAAGAAAAAACGAGAGAGAGGGAAGAAGTGGGAGAAAAAAAGAGGGAGAAAGATGAGACCAAAGTGGGGGAGAGAAGAAAAACCGAAGAGAGAGAGGAAAAGTGGGAGAAAAAAAAGGATAATACTTTTAAATAGGCCATTTCAAAAAATGACTAGACAATTTCGAGTTTTGAGGAATGGCCAACTAAAAATATAGAAACATATTTTCTCACTTTTTAAGGACTAAATTACTCTTTCCTAACCTCATTTTAAAAGAAATCTGAGTATTATTCTTCTTTTTTATAGGAGAATCCAGCCATATTTTTCTCCACCCATATTTATCCGACAATCATAATACTTTGTTAACGTATTTTTAGTATATTTATACTTCAAAAAATATAAAGGAAAAAATTGAAAGAATATATAATATAAAATATAATTATAAATACAAATACGGTGTATTTTTGTGTTGATACATAATAAACAAATACAATATGTTTTTATATACACCTCTGGATTATCGATCAGAGGAAGAAATTCAAACGTATACCTCTCTAGTGCAACACCACAACAGTCAAGTGTTTGAAATTTCTTTTGAAAGAAAAATAGAAAATAGAAGACTAACTTTTTAATTCAAATTAATAATACATTTAAGAGAAAAGTGAAACAAATCTGTATTTAAAAGAAGATGAAATTTGTTTTTAGAGGAAACATCAAAGATGGAAGACTAACTTTTTAAATCAAATTAATAATACATTAGGGAAAAAAAAAGTAGGTCAATTAAACCAGTAAACGCATCACTCTTCCTCCTTCCTCCATGTCTCATGTCTCTGAATCTCTCTGTCGGCATCCCTCCATCGATTTCGCACGCTGCCCATTGACAATCCCTTTGTCGACATCGTCTCTCTCCCAGCCTCCACCACTGGCCACCATGTCTGCATGGCTAATTCGTGTCTCCCTCGATACGTCGTCCCCTCTGTGAGTTACGTTTATATATACACACATATATTTGTTATTAGAATTTAGGATAGAAAACGTAGCAATATCAGATATAGAGTAGCAATTTCTTTTTTTTTAATTTAGGAGAGAGAGTAATATTTTGATTTGAAAAATAATAACTAAATAGTAAGGGTAAAATGGTCAAAATAAAACATGTGAAATAATTTGAAAAATACAAATGAACAAAATTGTTTGGCAATCTTTCAAAAATTGGATAACGAATATAGACACGTATTATAAATTCTCTATTAAAAAGAAAAGAAAAAGGAAAGATTCATATGGATCATAAATGCATTAATGGACGTAGTTTATTGATTCTAGCCGATTTTAGTTGGATTAATTGATGGGTCACCTTAGATAATTTTTCCTTTTTTCCAAGCTTCACAATATTTT